ATCAAGACAAAATTGATGTTCGTTTTCAAGATATTTCTCAGTGTTGTCGTTAGAACTTTGAGCATCCCTCGGTTCTCCTCCCTCTGAAGCCTCAGCAAGGACTTTTACACCCAATTCAGTCTCGTTAGCCTCACAATTGATTTTCCTGTTCTGTTCCATCTGCCAAAAAACGATGTAGATTAATGTTATTTCTTGTCCTCTCTTTCGCCTCTCTGGAGCGTTTTTTTTGTTTTTTTTTTTAATATCGCGATGCAAACCAAATTACATCCAGTGATTTTTTGAGGGTAATTGGTACTGAGGGAAATAGAAAATTTAACCCTCGATCTTTCCACCCCTCTAAACGTTACTAGAATTGAAATAAATTTTCTAAATAGAGTGGTCTGCAGAAGTAGTTTCGCTTGTAGCATCAACTTTTTTTATTTCCAATGTTTGATAAGTAACTTTGCCTTCTACTTGTTACACATCCCCTTTAGAATTTGTGAGGAGAATTTGGCGTTACATCAGTATAACACCCTCTAAGGACTCTTTATAGGAAGTCTATTCATTCTCTTCCCCTGTTGGTAATGATAAAAGTTTTGTATGAACAGGAGAAGTTACACGTTGACAAGATCTTGTTTAGCTCATAGTGGACAGTTTCGCAATCGAATTGACTTGTTACGCGTTAGGCGGTCTCATGAGCGCAGAGGTGTGTCGTTCTGAAAGAATTTTACGTTGAATGTCGCTGTTCCACCCCACTCTTAAGGATAAGAAACTATACGGGATCAGTGATATTTTGATTTTTTTTTTTTTTTTTGATGACAAAAATCCAAGGGATGGCGTTTACACTCGAATTAGCATTCACCAAGAGATTGTGAATATTCTCCTGCCTTCACTGAGACAGTAGTCCTCTCGCGGTATGTATAAAACGAGCTGCAAATGCAGTATTTGCAAGTTGAAAGATGGTTCACCTACTCTCATAATCGAGCAGATATTTAACCAGAGTCTAGGTAGAGTTTTGGCAGTTAAATTCAGTCGAACTTTGCTCTCAAAACATAAACAAAAACAATCGTATGGAAGTGTGAGCAACGAGAAATGATGCAAAGGGAATTTATGGCATGCAAAGTATTCATATTGATATGAACTACTAAAATTAATAGCACTCTGGAAAAGCGTTCAGGAATTGTTTGGGCTTGTACGATAATCTTGAATTCCTTGTGAGTCATGTTTTATCATGTGATGCAAGACCACAAGTATGGTTTTTGCTTTTGAGTGATGTGCCCTTGATCATTATAATAGGGCTTAACTTTTAGACGGTAATCACCATTGCTAATCGTGTTTGGGTTTGTCCACTGACCTTGCTCAGAGTCCTCAACAGGAGGTCATGTTTGGGTTTTAGCTTTCTAAGAGCGATTGTCTTTCAGGTAGCTTTTGTTCATTTCGACAGTCTCGTGAAATTTGATGGGTTGGTGTTCTAAAGAATACATTTAATCTGCCAAGGTCAGTTGTCCAGTAAGCCCACACACGCCCACCGATGGGTTTTTAAGAACGTGTACCTGGGGCTAAGAGGATAGGTCAGAAAAGAGCAGCAGTAACCCCGAATAAACAGTCAAACCATATTCATAAGAGGTCAATCGAGCAAAAAACCCACTTTCGAGCGGTTTACCGGCGTAATTACGCACGTGGATGTTGAGATAACATGTGAAAAGTCGCTTTCTTTTATCATTACACAAAGTGGACGTTTCCGAATAAACAAACACATCCACAAAATATGTAGGATCGTGATTTCTATAAATGTTGTAAACTTATAACAGAGGTATCGAGTTACTGTCGAATTGTCGAATTACGTTTAATCATAAACGTACTTGCACAATCGTTTAAAATGGTATTATAGCAACTGAATGTTTTTTGGAACAATTGGTTTTTTCCTTCTTTTAGTATTATACAAAATGGACGTTTAGCGAATAAACAAACACATTCACAATACATGTTTGAACGTGATTTCTATCAATGTTTAACTCATAGTTAAGGTGTCGAGTCACTATCTAAGACAAATAATCTGATGCCGGAAAAAAGCACAGGCAAACATTTTGTCTGAAATTAGCGCTGCAAGACTGAATGATGTTTAAATTGTAGAGCACGGCAGCCTAAGGAAAAGAGGATTGTAAATTGAACACGATTTCAATTTGACAGAAAAAAGGAGTTCTATAAAATGAAATCATTTCATCTTGAGGTCGTTTTCACATTTCTTCCAGATGCATACACAAAAGAATAAGGTTTTTCCTAATCCACTACTGGTTGTTTCAAGCAGTTCAAGGCGTATGAAATATCGCAAGTTTGGCCGTTTCCGTCCCTATGGGATGTAAGCATGTTTAAAAAAAAAGTGTTCGAAATGTGTTAACTAACCTCTTTGCCAAACACTTGCACGAAAAAGTCGAAAACTCCTGATCTCTCTTTTTTTTCCCTCGGAGTGAGAAAGCAAACACAGCTTAGAGCTACACCTCGGTTCAAACTGAACTTGGATGCGAGCAGAGGGTTTCTTTATGGGCGTCGCTTATGCTGATTTATTGTTGTTGAGTTGTCTCTAGGGGGTTGTATTGCTGCAATAATTTGTTTATTATTCCGGCCTCTTGACGCAAAAGGCGAAGCAAAATCTGCAGGCGAACTGAAAAGCTGAAAAAAGGGAGGACTTAATTTGTGGACAAAGTCAATATTCACCAGTAGGCGGGCTTAGCTCTGCACTAAAATAAAAGTTTTACTCCAACTCAGGGGCTATTCGCATGATCAGCTTAGTGAATGCTTACGCAGGAGTTCAAGAGCGTCCTAAAAATACATTGAAAATTACGTTAACAATGACGTAATTTCCTCGTCATCTGCAAAGAACCCACTCCGTTGTCATTTGCTAGATCTATTGCATGACACTCGGTTTGGTTTCTGGGCTCTGTTTATTGTTTTCAAAGGACCATAAGCTCCTCTTACAGTATTCATTGACCCTTCATTAAGCATGTATTTTTTTAATGGGAACCTTTAGCATTTTTCAGATAAAACATTTTTTTAATGTACACGGAAAAACGTGACATTCCAGTCATATTTATACACCTACACCACGTATTTCTAAACCGAGCACGCTTTTTTTATCCTCACGTGAGAGGCCAAGTGTGACCAGTGCACGAAGTTACATAACGGCTCGCGAGCCTTGAAAAATTAGCATAAATTTTTCAATGTTTTCTTTCTTAAATTCGTTTCAACTTTTTCCCGGTCCAAGCCATCCATGTTCCTTCTCAAACTTACTATTTCCTCTTTTTCACTGCCATTACCTTAACAGATTTACTTTACTACAGATTGCATACGATTCCACCTCGTGGCAAGCAAGACACATAACTTTGTGGCCACATAGCGGATATGACACGAGAAAACCCACAAAAAAAGGACTTGTACTTAAAAAAATGGTCACAGTTTGGCGAGGAAATTCGTCGAAATCTTCAGGTGAAAACCTGGTTATTGATGGAAATTTAATTACCTAATTCACGAGTCACTTTTGGATAAGAAACAAACATACCAAAACGAAAAACTGCACCTTTAAGAAAAGATGCTGGTTTGAAATGAGTCTTTGACGGACGCAAGAAGTTTCGCCCCCAATCATTGTATGTAAGTAAAATGACTTTGATACTTATCCTCATTAACCATCATTTTATTACCCAAATATCCATTTAAGGGTAATAAAACTCATATTGATATGTTTTCTTGAGATCTCAGCATTGTTGCTCGCTGAAATTTTACAGAAATTAAAATTCATATTTTAGCAAGAAAGGCATGGACCTCATCTCCGGCCTTTTATTTGCTTAGAGGCTTACTTAAAATTTTCATTCAAATTTGCATGTTTTTTAGAAGCCGTCGCCTGGAGCTGATGAAAGTAGATGTGGATTCTTTTTCTTAAAACACACACAACACCAAATTGACAATATTTCAGAACATTTATCAAATTTTTGGTCGTAATGAGCAGGAAGTTACAGAACAACTCGAATGAAATTGTAGGTTTGGCGCAGAAAAAAGAGAGAAGTTTTCAGTTGAATGTTCAAGCAAATGAGCATTGAAGGATTTTATTGCATCATAATGTTTCAAGTGTTTAAGTTATTTTTCGTTATTTGCAACCTTCAAGAATATCTACAACTTGGTTAATAAAGGTTACAAATCATAAGTTAACGATGCGAATCAATGTAAAATATACAATGATAAACTACTAAAAAGGCACACTCAGTGCAATGGAGACTATAGAAGCAAAGGGAAACCACGTCCTCGGAAACTATTTGCTGACTCCGAGTTGTCAAGACCCAAAAACTGTGACGGGGTACTATTCTTTCCCTGTGTTTCGTTTTTTCCTGTTTGACTTCGAAACGAAGTGAATCGTGTAAATGATAACTTGTAATAATAAAATTAGCAACTATTTACCTTAACGTGATGGACCGCGGTTGATTTCGTATCCTTGCATCGTTCATGGTCAACCAGGCACGTTTAACGTCCTTACGTTTGCTCTTTATGCCGTATTGTTGACACATGAAGAAGTGTTTGATAACAGAAAGATAAAAAAAACGGTTAAGCTATCTACCGGATTGTACTCTATGTCTAATTTGCAAGAACAGAGGCTTTTCGGGCGAGGAAAACTATAGTTTTCGAACAAAAGAATGATCTCTAATAAGTCCATACTACCAATGCCGATAACAATCTTCTTGACCGTGTCCTCATCGACGCAAAATTAACCCTCTACACCTTAACATCAGTATGCGTATTCTCTATACTGTTTTCTATACATTTTCCAAGGCGCTGACAAGGAGAACTTATTTAACGACCAAGAGCCTGTTGGTGATCATTTCCTGTATTTTCGGGACCTTAATGTTTGATTCAAAGATAACAATGAAAGGAGAATTTAGATGCTGATCACTCTTGGGGGTTTAAAGTTTAACTCAGACCAAGCATCATCATGTATTGACGACGGCATATTCTAGACGTTAAATAGTTCATTTATTCCCAAGTTATGAATAAAAACACTCCATAGTATTGTTGAAATGTATATTTCCTATCATTTTGTCTCTGAGAATTTGCAGTTAAACCCCTCACTGATATTTTCCTTTTGCTCATCTCTTTTATGCTTAACAATGTATTGGCATTATGAAGAGAAATTACAAAATGATCTCTCCTAGGAGTGAATGAAGTTAGTAAATACGCATCTCTGAAGTTAATAAAAAAATTAAAATTAAAAAAAACTCCGAGAAACCTTTTAATTTTATATTTGACGGGAGTTGTTTCTAGGTAGCTCTTGGATGATAAGAAAATTCTAAACAGCGGTAACATTTCCTTTCTTTTTTAGGGACCTGTCATTATTTTTCGCCGAAGGAGAGAGGGGGCTGGGGATTTTTTTCAGGGATCACATGACTTCCAGGGGAATGGAGGGGAGTTCACTCACCGCTAACTGAGTAAAAGCGGGTACTGGGTACTATAGAAAATTGACTGCCAGGGAGGGGGATGAGGGGAAGAAGGGGGTTAGATTAGGCGCGATAAATAATGACAGTTTCCTTATTGATGCTTTATCGAAGATCTTTTAAAATTGGTATTTCTTTAGATATCAGTGTTACGTTCAGATCATGCTGATGGTCTTCAGAACCATTGATAAAAATGTACCCCATCTCTTTCATCAATGGTGCACAGGCCTCCTCGACCAGAGAAACGAGTGAGGGATCTCGGACGAGCCTCCAGTAACTTATACGGTTTTCGTTATCCTCTGATATCGTAAAGGCCTTAATTTTGAATTCTATCTCCGTAGGTATTCTGCCTTCAGCAATCCACTGATAAATGGAATTCGTCATTGGTAGACCAACAAAGTCATACATCACTTTCGCAGCATTCATAGCACTGCCTGCGATGTCTTCGTAACGCACAAGTTTGTAACGACCTTGAAACCACGTCGCCCAGTTATCTCTGACATAGTTTAAATTGTTGGTAACTTGAGAGCACAGCAGCTGCACATTACGCTTTAGCAGACTCAATCCTTCGGATGTTAAATTTTTTGAGTAAAATAGCGTCTTTTCAGGTCCTTGTGCAAAAAACTTGCGTCTCAATAGTGAGGAAATAACAGCACGAGGATCCCTTACCAAGTGAATGATTAAACAATCAAACTGTTGTGGATCAACGCGGCACACTCGTTCAAGCTCCTTTATTCCGATTTCTCTGGGAAGTCGTGTTTGCATGACTTTCGCTACAGTGATTTTCTTACCTCTACAAGCATCTCTCACGGCTTCCTTGGTAAATTCCGGTGTAGAATATCGCCAATAAGTGAAGTGTTTTTTCCCCCTAGCGAATGGAGGAATGGATCTGTACAGTGTATTATTCTTCAAGAATCCACATCCTAAATAGTCACGAAATAAATCAAAAAAATCTTTGGTGTACGCTCGATTTGTTTCGTCATCGAAAGGATTCCACTCGTCCTTGTAAACCTTTCTTCGCAGGTTATGAAGGGGTTCATAAAGATAAAACACGTCAGGGTGAAGATTAAATAAGTTGCCGGTAAGCGTCGACCCTGAACTCATGTGAGTCAAAATGATCACATTCCATCTTTTATTATCTTCAGCAGAGACTCTCAGAGAAAGGGACGACCTCTTCTCTGCGGGTTTTAGCTTTAAATCTGACTTCTCGGTTTGGTATTTTAGTGCTGTTTTAGCAGAAATACTTTCACGAGGTTGTATTAAAGATCTCACGGTGTACAACAAAGTAGCCATGACAGAACAAGTAATCAAAGCGGAGAACAGCACAGTACCTCGATACCTGTAATAAGAAAAGTACCAACGATGATTAAAATCATTTTGAAATCCATAAAGTCAGGTTTCCCTAAGAATGTAGTCACTCAAGTAGTATCTATCGTTATATAACATTAGGATATGCAAGAGATTTGTTTGACAACAAGCCTTGCGGGTGGATCAAGGAATTTCCTTTTTTTGTGCGCTGAAGCCTATAAATAAGCTGCGAAAAGAGGGTGCTTCGTCAAGTGTTTGGAAAGTAGCCCTTTCAAAATCGATGTCACTCGAGAAAAAAACATAAGTTGTCTCTCACAAAAGGGGCTCTACGCATGCAAATGAACTGGATGTATGGTGCTAAAGAACCTTTACTGGTGTTATTATTTGATAGTATTAGCCATTCCTTGTTATTGTTATGAATATCATTTTTTATGGACATTTACTCTGTCTATTTCGGGCAATTACAGAAAATTTAAGTTTGTGTTGACCGTTATAACAATAATAAGCATGAAACACGTTATTTAATCCCAGCGCTGAAAGTTGAATTTGGATGCAAAAAAATTGAAATTAAAATTGAAAGTATAACATAATGAAATAGCGGACAGTTCAGGAGAAAGTAACAACGTTTTAATTCAGAGTTTGAATGAAAATAGTGAGACAAAAATAACCAACAAGGCACAAACAATGGGCTTCAAGTCTGAAAGTCTTGGGCTCCAAAACATCTATCAT